ATGGAATTATTCCTTTAGCTCAAGTGCTAGGAGCCTGTGCCTTTTAGATCTGAAGGCATTGAGCTCGAGTCCTGCTGACTAGAGCTGGCCTAAAATTGGACTTTTCATCCCATGGCAAATTCAGGTATTTTTGACATTTCTTTTCATCCCGAATCAGTATCAAAAGCTTTTATACATATATAAAAAATTCCTGGAACAGAAAGTCCAAAAAAATTTCAATTCAGAAATGTCAAAACAAATATTTAAGTATTCTCTCCCAATTAAAATATTTTATTTTGGCTTGACTCAGCATTAATATGCGTTCTTCTGAGCAACTATGATGTGGGGGAGTTGTAGTTTGGTTGTTTTGTGCCCCCTTTCTCCTCTATGAGCCAGGCAGCTTGGCTGGACTACATCTCCCATGATGCACCATAGGAGTTCAGCAAGGAGGGGACTGTGGTGCATCATGGGAGATGTCCAGTCAGGGTGCTCGGCTGGTAAAGGAGAATAGGGACATGAACCCCGTGAGGCACTGCAGCATCTGACACAGATTAAAGTGAAACTGATACCCCACCCCAAAATAACCCATTTTGATTCAGTTTGAAAGACTGAAGTGTTTTGATGTGGCTCTACCTTACCTGAAATTAAGCATATAGTTTAGATTTTTCCCAACAGAAAATCAAATTTCAGCAAAATCGGAGTTTTCCAGTGGAAAATTTCAATTTTTCAGCAACTACATTTACCATTGGAAAAAGCTCTTTGGTGGAAGATTTTCAGCCAACTGAAGTGCTACTGTCTCAGGCAGGAGTCATTACACATGCTTCAGATACTTCAGATCTATCCATCTTTGTGCACATCTCTGAGTATCTTTATTTCCCATCTGCATCTCCGTAATAACAGACAAAATAGGCATTTGTTATTTTTTACATACCTTGGTCACTGCTCACCTGCATTTTCAGGTGACTTTTTGGCCTTACCCTATGTACCAAAGAGCTTTATTGCATTGAAGAAGAAAGAATTAACATTTTTTGAAGAACGCTCTAAAATTAACATATCGAAAATACATATTTTTTTTTACATGAAAGGAATGATTTTTAAGTTTACACATTACAAACTTTAACTCTGCCGGTACTATCGTTTTGAACGCTAATGGCCTCTTTAGTGACCCCTCTGAAATGAGATCTGTCTCAGTGTAGTACCCAGGGGAAAAGTAGCCAACTCACAAAAAGCAGCACATCCTTGGCACTAACCGAGACTGGCCTATTGGCCCACTTTCCTCAGGGAGGCCAAGTTTTGAAATGACTATGAAAAGCCCTAAATATGTTCCATCCGGACTATTCAGGAGGCAAGACAGGAAAGCTTGATCTTCTGTTACTTGTGATGCACTAGGTCTGTGGAGAGAGTTTCAGGTCGGAAGGGACCACCAGATCATCCAGACCTGTGGCTCTCAAACTTTTGTACGGGTGACCCCTTTCACATAGAAAGTCTCTGCGTGTGACCCCCCCCTTATAAATTAAAAACATTTTTTCTATATTTAACACCATTATAAATGATGGAGGCAAAGCAGGGTTTGGGGTGGAGATTGACAGCTTGCGACCCCCCCCATGTAATAACCTTGTGACCCCCTGAGGGATCCCGATCTCCAGTTTGAGAACCCCTGATCCAGACTGACTGCATTTTTTTTGTAAAGTTATCTGGGAATGGAGGATTAGGGTTCTTTAGGGGTCACAGGCTACTAATCACCACCCAGCACCCACTCACCAAGCCAACAACCAGAATTAGACCAAAATGGTACAGCCCTCAGGAGCACACGTGCCAGCTTCCTCTCGGCCCCGAGGATGCTCAACACCCCGCTCCATCCCTGGCCCCACCTCCTTCTCCCAAGCCCCCACCGCTGCCCCGCCTCTTCCCACCCCCCCACCTCTTCCTGCCCAGTTCTGCCCCCTTCTCCAAGTGCGCCCCATTCCCACTTTTCTCCCACCCAGCCCGAGTGCCTCCTGCACACTGCAAAACAGCTGATCACAGCAGGTGGAAGCACTGGTAGGGAGCGGGAGGAGTTGATCACAAAGCCACTAGTGGATGGGAGGCGCTGGAGGGGAAGGCAGGGGAGCTGGCTGTCCATGGGTGCGCCTATACTCTGGAGACTAAACAACTGTGAGTCACAGGCAGAGAACAGGATAAACCAAGGACTTTAGTCTGCACAGCTGTCCAGCTAGCATCTTCACAACCACGATCTTGATTCCCTCCCTTTGTCTCTGTCTCTTAAAGTCACATGAGTCCTTACTATTGCTGAGTCTATTGTGTTAAAAAAAAAAATCCCACACACCTTGGCCGACATGCTTTTAAAATAATCACTAGTTCCAACCCTTTCAGCACCACCCTCTGTTTGTGGTAATTCAATATTTATTTCCATGGAAACGGGAATGGCAGCCTGAAGCCTTCCTCAGGGTTGTAATTACTCTTGTTGCTTTCAATGGCTGAGGCTCAGCATGCTTGTCAGCACCGGGGTAGCTTTGAAAGCTGGTTTGGAGGTTAAATTGAAAATGGAAAGTCCTGGGTGAATGGATGAAATTGCCTTTTATGATCTTTTTTTTGTAAAGTTATCTGGGAAAATGGGGGATTAGGGTTCTTCGGCGTTTATTATTTAGAAGTAATGTTGGTGCACACCTGAGAGGTGTCCGAAAGGTGGAGAGCGGAGAGTCCAGTTTACAGGCTTTATTTTATCACTCTAGTTAGCTTTTTCCACTGGTAGCTGCCCAGTTTTGGAAACGGAGGCCCAAAGTTTGTATGTAAAAATGTACACGAGGAAGTAGATCAGTTACCAGCGTTGATCAGTCACTTGGGTGCCTGCATGCAAAGGGGTTCTCTGTCTGATAGCAGTGTGGCCCTTAAAGTGTGATTCTTCTCTGCTAAGTGACTGTGTAAAATTATCACGGTGGTTTCCATGTTTGTGTGTCAATTCTTTCCCGTCAAATATGTTCAGTTTACCAAGACTTTAATAAAAAAAAAAAAAAAGGAGAAAGGGGTTCCCGCTGGCAGTTACACTGATGCATGCTTAGCTCTGAGAGTCCAGCCTGGGTTCTTTCCTGCCTTCACAGCATTTGCGTGTCATGAATAGACCTAGACAAAGCGGGTCAAGTTTAAAGAGGGACCTAGGTTTGTGAGGGAGGGACCTGTGGTGGGATATAAACAGCAGAGCCTCCATGTGTTTAATAAAGCTTTGTGGATTAGAGCTCTCCCATTTTACTTTTAGCTAAGGAAATAACTCCCACCAGTAATAGAGTACAGCAGGTCAGTTTGGACCCTGAGGCTATGCCACTCATACCGCTGCAGCCAGGCCCCTTTTGTCACACACTAGTTCGAGCAGAACTAGTGCTTGTCTGTCTGCCTGAGCTGGGGCTTATGCCTCCCAGCTACTGTGTAGACCTACCCTTAGTGACACTTGTGTATCCCCCTTGTTTTCAGCGGGTTTGCACACGTGAGTGGCTGGAGCTTGGTGAACAGTTGTACTGTTGATGGACTTGGCTCACAGAATCTTAGCTAGGCTAGTTTGTGAGAGCAGAGCGGAGTAGATGGCAGTAATCCCTTGCCTGTCTCAGCAGGGATAACCGAGTAGACAACTGGAGCAGAGCTGTCAGGTAAGAAGGTACCATTTGTACATAGACACTTTTCAGAGCAGGACTACATTTCAGTAGTTTAAGGGCTCTCTCCTTCTGCTGTGTATGACATATAAAGCATGTGTGCATGCATGCAGTCACTGGCTGCTGGGTAATCTATTATGTTCTGCAGCATAATGGACAGAGCGTAATCTCTGCTCCCCTAATTATATTTGAAGCAAATTAGCTCGTCCATTAGCCAAAATAAATCTGATGTAGCATAATAGGGAGTTCTCCAGTGATGGTTGATCAATAACTCATGTGAAGAATAGCCAAATGCTGCTGAGCAGATGGTCATGGCTGAGACATGGTCAATTAAACTTGTTTGAGATACTTTAATTTCATCAGAGGGTTTTTAACTCCTTTCTTTACCCGCTGGGGATGTGTGGTTTTTGTGCAGTGGGAAGCTGGGCTCGGGTTCTGCTGTGGACTCAGTCTTCTGGGTTTTGGATTTGTTCTAGAAACTGAATTAGAGCACCTGAAATAAATGAGACACTAAGGGGAAAAATGATAATGGCACACATGTTACAGTAACAAAGACACCCAGCTTCTAGCATCAAACAGGGGTATTTATTGGAAAGAGGAAAGCTGTTGTGCTTCTGTGCTGTGTCTTTCCCAGGCTACCTCCTTCAGAGAGAGAGAGAGAGAGTGGATGCATCCCCACAGCATAGACAAACTTCACTGTTCTCCCAGTGAAGCCTGAGACTCTGTGCATGGTGCTGGAATTCTCTCTTCTGATTATTGGTCTATTTCCACATCTCTGTATTCCACTGTGGCATGTGGGTCAATATCCAGACAGTATGTGGATATGAAGGGGAGCCTTGATTCGTGCTCTCTGCTTTTCTGGGGAATGGCTTGAATGCTCAGTGTCCCATATGCCATGGCACAAGTTTGGAGATGGATTTCATTCCTAAATTGCAGCTGAAATTCACTAGGTCTCCCCAGCCAAAATGAGTGCTCAGTGGTAATTGTTCACATCTGATCTACCTTGCTTTTTCCACCCTATTCCATTCAGGTTTTTCCACCATTATCACCATGGTACCCATCCCCTATATGTAACCTATTGCTAGCCTATCAGGAGAATGTGACCCATGGAGTTGAATTACTTGTTTTCTACCAGCCTAATGAAAAGAGGGAGTTCTGAGTACCCACTACAGTAATTTTAGAAGAGATTGACTTAAAAAGGCTCTGAAGTATAATAACTAGAGCAGCTCAGCTAACCAGTAAAAGTTAGCACTGGGGGGGGGGGGCGGGAAGCTCACCAGTAACCGCTGTCTTGGTGCATTTCAAGCATCACGTTCAAATTAAATTGAAAACTGTTGTGCTTCATTTTCAACTTCAAAAGTAAAACCCGACCTACACGGCACCTCTGATAGTAGCAGAGACTTTAAAATTCAGATTCAGGGTGATTTTTTTAACATTAATTCTCAAGGCAATCATTGTTGGTTTTTTCAAATATTTATTTATTTATTTATTGCTGGAGTGATCCTCTCCTAACCATACAGGCTTTCTATAATATCCACAGTTCAAAGTTTAAATTACCATCAAGATGGCTCTTCAATTTTATTTTTTTCTAAATGTTCCCATATATGCTCTTCATCCTCCTGTTTTCAAGCTGAAAAGGGGACATAAAACAAAAGAAGACATACACTGTAAAATTCAAATGCCTTGACATTTTCAGTCTCTCTTAATCTCTCTAGTCAGGGACTTACAATGCTTTTTTCCCAATCTATTGGTAGGATTTCCCTATTTCCTCACCAGAGTTATTTTTAATCAAATCAGAAGCACCATTTCAGATGGATATTTATGAACACGGTTCTTCCATTTCAGGAAGCAGAAGCTGTGCTATAAATTCCTGACACTAGGTAATAGCTTTTGGGGAAAGAAAGAATGATAATTTTGCAAGTGCCCAGTCCAGAATAGGGAATCTGCCTGCTGAAACTACCGTATGCAGAGGATCAAAGAGCTTGAGGAGAGGACAAGTTTTAAAACTTGAATTATGAGATGAGAGAACTGCTTTGGAAGTGTTGGAATGCCTCTGATCACACGTATCAGTTCAGTGGAATGTAGAGATGTGGAAATAGACCAGAACCCAGAAGAGAGAATTCTGGCACTGTGTAAAAGGATGATAGGACCACACCTGACGCTGCTGTGCAGGACGGATGCTGAAGAAGTGGGGAAGTACTGACAAGGGCTGGAGAAAGAATAAAGGTTCTTCAGGGGCATTAAGTGTGCCAGGTTGGGAAAACTGTTCTTTAAATTCACTAGTTAAAGAGGAGATTTGAGGAGGTTATAATTGAGGCCCAGAATAGGAAATGATAGGTATATGCCCCGAAATTACTAGTGAGAAGGGTCATAATTAAAAACTAGAGGGAGTGGATAGAAAAGAGACATTTTCTCTAAGCTTCTTTATGCTTATTAAAGGATAATTGAAGTGCAGAATGGGCTCTTAGATTTGCAACAATAAATACACTGAAATAGATTTTAAAAGGAAAAACAATTTCCAGGTTCAAAACATGAGACAGGCAGGTTGCGATTCAGCGGAGTCCCACACTGTTACTGTGGTAGACTTCTTGGCTGGTGCTGTGTGAAAAATTCTGGGCGCCAAATTGTCATTTACCTTTCACAACAAAGTTGCTGGGGGTGTTGCTGGATCAGTCACGGAGCTCCTCCGTTCCAAGTCAGTGGGAGGGAGAAAAAGAAAGAGAACCTTCAAACATATCATAATGTAGCTGAGCTTCATTGGGCAAAGGCGGCCCCCTCGGACAGTGCAAGGATGAGGCAGGAGTTGGAGGGGCCAAAGGATCTAGCTTTATAATATTCAATATAGGTTCTTATTCCACCTCCATCGTTATAGTATTTGAGCATCTTCCCGTCATGCACTGTGCTATGTGACTAATGTTTCTCACATGTGGTTCATTATTTCTCTCCTTCTCTGGGCTTTCGTATGTGGTGAGAACACTCTGGGTTGTTCCACCCATTAGGGAAAGGATCCCTTATTCCCAGCAGAGATACACAGGCTCGGGGTGGGGACTCTTGCCTTAGGTATGTTGTTATAGCCTCCTCACAAGCAAACTACCAGGCCAAGTTACACATCTGGGATGTTGCCATTCCATAAACCCAAGCTGGACATGGTTCATCATTGGGCACTAGGGGCCTGAATCACAAAAAGACAGTGTCATGTACTTTAGGAAAGATCCACGGTAATTTAATAATAATCCGCAGAGTCAAGCAAATAACTGACACCAACAGGAGGTAATGGAACAGATCTTGTATTTAGAACAAGCATTCCCTTGCTTTCCATTGGTGTCGGTGGTGTCATTGCTGAGAGAGAATTTGGCCTTAGAGGTGAATTATTTCAAACAGTGCCTCATTTCCTTGTGAGGAAGAGTTCAAATCCCTGTATCTGTAATACAAGCTGCAGGGTGAAAAAGCCAATGAATGCCACAAGGTGTGAACTGTGTGTTCTGTTAGCAATATGTTAGCAAAGCCAATTTTCACTCCTCTCTTTGCATTCTCCCTGACCAAACATGGCCAGCAGGAGGCCAAACAAAGAAATGACTTTTACCCTTTACTCCCTGAAAGCATGGAAAGATGCAGAATTATTAGTAGTAGCATTCTGTGTTCCCCCATACATGGTCCTGCCAAACAAGCTGGGAAGCACTCAGAGACAGAAGGGATGTTACCCAGACCCATCTCCTTTTCAGCAATTGAGCATTGACCAGGAAAGAATCCATATGCAGTGGTGTTAACAGTGCTATGGAAGGCTAGAATATTCCGTAATGCATAACTGGTGCATACTCCTGCCCTGTATTAGCTTTTTTCTTTTAACATGGAATGCGATGCAGCAGTTAAAAAATTAAATTGTGTGTTCAGGTCTTTTAATTTAGTTTTGCATTCTCTGTGAGACTGTTAACCTTCGGCAGCACTTTGCTCCTCCTCTCCCCATTTTATGCTAACGTACTGTAGTTTTACTGGGTGAATTGTCAGTGACGAGCAAGGAATGTTGTTTTAAAAATATCAATAGTCTTATGCTGGTATAAGGAGATCTTTTGTTGGCATAGATAATCCACCTCCCCAGATGATATAAACTATAATGGCAAAATGAGACTTTCTTCCCACCTCCAACCAACATAACTATGCTAACGACACTTTGTAGTGTAGACGTGACCTAAGAAACAGGAGTTTTCCATTGATCTGCATTGGCCTCAGATCACTCTTTCAGCTTTCTTTTTATGACGAAATAGAGAAATAATTTTTTTGATACATCCCATCCCATAGAGAGTATTTTAAAAATTTTCTATCAAGTATTTTACAAAGTCTTTTTGTTTCTCCAGCAAAGTGGTAAAAGTGGTTTCTGGGTGATGGTTGCTTATTTCCCACTGTCCATATTGTGTTCACTCTTCCAGAAAATAGAACTATTGAATATCTGTCAAATAATACAGAAATATGGACAGCCTAAAAGAATGAAATGTACAGAGATTGGAAGGGGGAAAGAGTTCAGTTTATAAAACTACATCCTGTTTTGAATGCAATACACAACATGATTGTAGTGCCAATCTTTAAAAAAGGGAAGGAGGAGGATCCTGGGAACTACAGGCCAGTCAAACCTCACCTCAGTCCCCGGAAAAATCATGGAGCAGGTCCTCAAAGAATCAATCCTGAAGCACTTACATGAGAGGAAAGTGATCAGGAACAGTCAGCATGGATTCACCAAGGGAAGGTCATGCCTGACTAATCTAATCGCCTTCTATGATGAGATTACTGGTTCTGTGGATGAAGGGAAAGCAGTGGATGTATTGTTTCTTGACTTTAGCAAAGCTTTTGACACAGTCTCCCACAGTATTCTTGTCAGCAAGTTAAAGAAGTATGGGCTGGATGAATGCACTATAAGGTGGGTAGAAAGTTGGCTAGATTGTCGGGCTCAACGGGTAGTGATCAATGGCTCCATGTCTAGTTGGCAGCCGGTGTCAAGTGGAGTGCCCCAGGGGTCGGTCCTGGGACCGGTTTTGTTCAATATCTTCATAAATGATCTGGAGGATTATGTGGATTCACTCTCAGCAAATTTGAGGATGATACTAAACTAGGAGGAGTGGTAGATACGCTGGAGAGTAGGGATAGGATACAGAGGGACCTAGACAAATTGGAGGATTGGGCCAAAAGAAATCTGATGAGGTTCAATAAGGATAAGTGCAGGGTCCTGCACTTAGGACGGAAGAACCCAATGCACAGCTACAGACTAGGGACCGAATGGCTAGGCAGCAGTTCTGCAGAAAAGGACCTGGGGGTGACAGTGGACGAGAAGCTGGATATGAGTCAGCAGTGTGCCCTTGTTGCCAAGAAGGCCAATGGCATTTTTGGCATGTATAAGTAGGGGCATAGCGAGCAGATCGAGGGACGTGATCGTTCCCCTCTGTTCGACATTGGTGAGGCCTCATCTGGAGTACTGTGTCCAGTTTTGGGCCCCACACTACAAGAAGGATGTGGAAAAATTGGAGAGAGTCCAGCGAAGGGCAACAAGAATGATTAGGGGTCTGGAACACATGAGTTATGAGGAGAGGCTGAGGGAACTGGGATTGTTTAGTCTGCAGAAGAGGAGAATGAGGGGGGATTTGATAGCTGCTTTCAACTACCTGAAAGGTGGATCCAAAGAGGATGGTTCTAGACTATTCTCAGTGGTGGAAGAGGACAGGACAAGGAGTAATGGTCTCAAGTTGCAGTGGGGGAGGTTTAGATTGGATATTAGGAAAAACTTTTTCAGTAGGAGGGTGGTGAAACACTGGAATGCGTTACCTAGGGAGGTGGTAGAATCTCCTTCCTTAGAAGTTTTTAAGGTCAGGCTTGACGAAGCCCTGGCTGGGATGATTTAGTTGGGGATTGGTCCTGCTTTGAGCAGGGGGTTGGACTAGATGACCTCCTGAGGTCCCTTCCAACCCTGATATTCTATGATTCTATGTCATTTTAATTTAGACTAGTTCAAAGTTGCATGGCTTGGGCGGAGGACAGAGCAGAATAAATGGAAAATAAAATTAGGTGAACCCATCAATCTTGCATCTAAAACAATGCTAAAATAAAAGCTGAGAGTAAGCATATTTGCTGGGAGGAATGGGAAATCTCAGCAATTGTTTCTCCTAAAGGATATCCCTGCAGGGCTGCCTTTGCATCTCTCCAAAACGACTGTAACTCAGGAAGCAACCAGCAAACTAGATTTCATGTCATTACAAATGCGCTGTTTTAGTATCCACAGAGCACGCAAGCCACCTCTTATAGCTTTTTCAATATTAAACTTTCATACTCAAAATATTATGTGTTGGTGATTGAACAATCTCCTTCTACTTGTGCATGTGAGTCGCCCAATGAGGGATTGGAGCGTGAGTTAAATGTGGGCTTTGATGTAAGCAAACATCCGATGTAGTGAACTAAAGAATCCCTTACCACGACACTACAGCTGTTAAAAAATCATACAGAGAATGGACCAGACTCCAGCATGCATGTTCAAGTGTGTTCTCTGCAGTAGAGTGGTGGTTACTGGCAGGGTGAGAACTCCCTGGGACATTTTTCACATGTTATTTGCCATTGTCCCAATATTAGAAATGTTTGGCCAAGGGTCCGAGA